TATCTACATTGAGAACAACATGTCTCCTGTCGAGTTGAAGACACAGTATAGTCTTTTGACCCTTGTAAAAGAACTAGATAAACAAGACAAATTCTATGTTAAAGGTAGCAGTATTTTTAAAAGGAAGGTACAGAATTAGGATTTGCGACTGTGCCATTGGAATTGTGCTGGTTGGTCCACAAAAAGTAACGAAAACTCTATTTTCAGAGAAAATCTTATCAAGGCTAGTGAATATGATATCATTTCCCTCTGTGAAACTTTTTTACGCGACGATGAACAAATACAAGTTGAGGGTTATAAATGGTTCGGTCATAATAGAAAACAAGTCGACAAGAAAGCTAAACGGGGCTCAGGAGGCGTAGGATTCCTTATCAAGAACAGCTAAACCAAAGTGTTCAAAATATCAGTTTTAGATGATACAATTGAAGATATTTTATGGCTAAAATTAGAAGCCCGTGACATCACCCTCTGTGCATGTGCGTGCTATCTCCCACCTGCAGGATCATCTCGTGCAAGGGACCCGGATCTGTTCTTCAGTGACTTGCTACACCAGGTGTACACATATCAGAATGAAGGTATCTTGTGTGTGTGTGGTGATTTCAATGCTAGATGTGGAATTCAAATGGATTACATTGAGGGAGTGGACAAAATACACCCCAGGTCAGTCATTGATTGCAATGAGAATAGCTATGGAGCTATGTTTATCGACTTCCTTTGTGATGTCAACTTCTGTATGTTGAACGGGAGGGTTGGTGACAGTAACGACTTTACGTATGTGTGCACTACAGGGCGATCGGTCGTTGACTATGTTGTAGTACCGCACGAGCACATTTGTCACTTCACAGAATTTAAAGTTAAACCTATGTCAAGTATTATATCTATGCTTAATATTCCTGTGCCTGACAAAATCCCAGATCATTCTGTGCTCGAATTCAAAGTTGCTATCAATGTTTTTGATCGGTACACTGTTGGTATTGCCCCAGACCGGCCTGAGAGACCCGCTCATAGACCAGATACCCCTTACGATTTCTTGATATCTCAGGACGATGTGGTTCGTTTACAAGACTGTATCAAACGCATTGAGTCCAGTTTGAATGCACACAATCGTCTTAATGAAGCTTACGACAGATTCACATCTCTTATCCAACACGAGCTTAACAAATGCGCAAAACCTAAACCGGTTAATAATCATAATGTTAAAAAACGTAAACCATATTGGAACGACGAGTTACAGCGTCTGTGGACACTAACATGCGCTCGAGAAAGGGAGTGGTTAGCATGTAGATCACCAGGCGTGAAAAGAGCCAATCATCAGTTATATATCAGTCAGAGAAAATACTTTGATAAACTACATAGAAAATATAAACGTTCCTATCAGCTAGAAAAGCAGAAGAAACTGACAGACTCGTTTGATAATACTGACACAAGAGATTTCTGGAAGATGATTGGTATATTAGGTGTAGCTAACGACCGTACAGGTAAGTTGCCCTTTGAGGTCAGAGACACCGAAGGAAATATTGTTTGTGATACTAGTTCTGTCCTTGAAAGATGGAAGGATGACTTTGAGAATTTATACGGTTACGACCCACACCCTGATAGAAATTTTGATAATGAACACCTGGATAATATAGTGCAAGAATTATCCAATTTTGTTATAACAAAGGAAGATAAAACAAACTGTGATCCCTTGAACGTCCCTATAATGTTGGTGGAAGTAGAGAAGGCAATAGAACGCGCTAAATCCAGAAAGGCGGCGGGTATTGATAATCTTCCTGCTGAGTGTCTGAAAAACCCTGTCTGCGTTGACATATTGTTTAAAATAATGACTCATTGTTTTAATAATGGTGTAGTACCTGATGCATGGCAACAGAGTATCATTAATCCTATTGCTAAATCTGACACCGATGTTCACAATCCTCTGTCATACAGGGGTATCTCTCTTATTTCAGTACCCTGTAAAATTTATTGTGACATTCTAAATGCCAGATTGAGTGAGTGGTGCGAAAGAAATAATATTTTAGCTGAGGAGCAAAATGGCTTCAGAAAAAAAAGGAGCTGTTTGGATCACCTCTACAGCATTTGTACAATAATCAAAAATAGAAAACAATCAAAATTATCAACATTTTGCTGTTTTATTGACATGAAAAAGGCGTTCGATAATGTAAACAGAGATTGTTTATGGTTTAAAATATTAAAAAATGGTATAAACGGAAAAATGTTTGAAGCTGTTAAAAGTTTATATAGCAATGTGAAGTGCACTGTGAGAGTAAATGGTCTGTTTACACCCTGGTTTAAGGCACCACGGGGACTAAAGCAAGGATGCCTTGTCTCTCCATTATTGTTCTCTATTTACATCAACGACCTGGCGGCCAATATAAAAAGCATGAACTGTGGTGTTGATATAAATGATTTAAATATTGGTATTATGTTATATGCTGATGATATTTTATTATTGGCGCCCACGGAGGACAAACTGCAAAATATGTTAAACGTGGTCAATGAATGGTGTCAAAAGTGTAGACTTACAGTTAATCCTACAAAAACTAAGATTGTTCATTTTAGGCCTACCAATACAAATTGCTCCACAACCAACTTCTCAATTGGAGAAACTCTTTTGAAGTATAGTAATAATTATAAATACCTTGGTTTGTGGCTTAACGAACACATGGACTTTAAGTTCACAATAAATGAACTGGCTAAATCGGCAAGTCGAGCTTTTGGTGTTTTATGTACAAAATATTTTGATGCTGGTGGTTTTACTTATGCAATTTACACTAAATTGTATGAATCCTTGGTTCAGCCTATTATGCAATATGGTGCTTCCATCTGGGGATTGTATGAACAAAAAAAGTTAAACACTCTGCAAAACAAAGCATGTAAATTTTTTCTTGGCCTGAGACGTAATGCGTCAAATGTCGCCGCCAGGGGAGACATGGGTTGGAAATCATGTGTCACTAAGCAACGCATAGAAGTATTTCGCTTATTCTTCCGCCTTAACAGTATGGAAATTACAAGATTGCCCCGTGTCATTCATGCTTGGTCAAGTAAAAGAGGGCGCTCATGGGAAAAGGAGGTTTACAAGCTAGCTAGAAACTTAAACGTCGTCGACTTGATCGATGTCCATTCGATGACACGTGGCCAGTTCACTCTCATTAAGCAAAAATTATTTCAAGTGGATGAAACTGCCTGGTTTTCAGAGCTGTGGAATGATGCTAATAACCCTAATGGTAATAAGCTGAGGACCTATAGATTGCTTAAGAAGGATCTAGTGCCTGAGCCCTATGTCTTATCAAACTATATCCATAGAAACACCAGAAAATATTTGGCACTTTTACGCAGTGGCAGCCTCCCCATTAACATTGAAAAAATGAGGTACAGTCGTCCCCCTATCCCCCTTCAGGATAGAACTTGCCATTTTTGTTTTAACTCAGTAGAGACTGAGGTCCACTTCTTAATTGATTGTAACATGTATGATGATTTACGTTATGATGTAATGAACGATATGTGTGAATGTATGCCAGATTTTAAAAACTTATCTTCAACCGAGAAATTTATATCATTACTCAGATGTGAACTCGGGTGTTATACTCTTTGTAAGCTGATTGATCAAATGTTCCAAAGACGCTTGTCACTCATTTGAGTCTGTGTGCGCTTTTCCGTATGTATGTCATTATGCTTGCGAATTGTAGTATTTCTTCCTGTGATCAATGTTATACTTGTAATGCTTATGTTGAGTGTCGGTGAGGATAAATGCACCCCTGTGTTGGGTGTGTGTGTGTGTGGGGTGGGGGGTGGGGCGTATAATCTACGTATGGTATATGTGTACGTGTGTGCGTAGTGCGTGTGTGTGTGTGGGGGTTATAATGTACGTAGGGTATGTATGTGTGAGTGCGTGTGTTTGTGTGTGCGTGTGCGTGTGTGTGTGCATGGTATGGTGGGGTGTGTGTGTGTGTACCTACGTGTTTGTGTATGATTGTGTGCGTGACTTTATAAGTAATTTGGCGTGTGAGTGTGAGTGTGCGTGCGTGCGTGCGTGCGTGCGTGCGTGCGTGCGTGTTCATAACCCAACCTTAATTTTAAACATTGTGTTAGTATATGTCTTATTTTACCTTACCCAGATCATGACGTTATAATTTGCTTTTATGTCTAGTGTCTCGTAGGCCATACCTGGTCGGATGTTATATTTTACTGTTCATGTACATGTTTTAGTATGAAGTGTATATAACATGTGACACTATAATAAACATTATTCTCTCTCTCTCTCTCTCTCTCTCTCTCTCTCTCTCTCTCTCTCTCTCTCTCTCTCTCTCTCTCTCTCTCTCTCTCTCTCTCTCTCTCTCTCTCTCTCTCTCTCTCTATAATGCGAAATGACAGAGTTAGGGAACCTGGGATGGCGGGGGAACCTGTTTTGCCTGGGGAGTTTGCAGGACCTGGGCTCCCTTGGGTGGCGGGGAAACCTGGGCTCCCTGGGGTGGCGGGAGAATCTGGACTCCCTCGGATTGCGGGGGAATCTGTGGTCCCTGGGGTGGCAGGGAAACCTGGGCTCCTTGGGGAGGGGAGGTAACCTGGGACGACGGGGCAATAGGGGCTCTGTGGTGGCGAGGGAACCCTGGCTCCCTGAGGTTGCGGCGGAACCTGGGCTCCCTGGGGAGGCGGGGTAGCCTGGGCTCCATGGGACAACGGGGCAATAGGGGCTCTGTGGCGTGGCGGGGGGATCTGTGGTCCCCTGGGGTGGTGGGGGAACTGGGCTCCATGGGGCGGCGGGTTAACCTGGGCTCCATGAAGAGGCGGGGGAACCCTGGCTCCCTTGGGAGGCGGGAGAACCTCTGCTACCTGGGGAGGCTGGGGAACCTGGGCTCCCTGGGGAAGTGAATGAACTTGGGCGCCCTGGGGAGTCAGGGCAACATGGGCTCCCTGAGGCAGCGGGGGAACCTGGGCCTTATGGATAGCCGGGGTAATCTGTGCTTCCTGGGGTGGCGGGGGAACCTGGGCTCCCTGGGATGGCTGGGGAACCTGGGCTCCCTGGTGTGGCTGGGGAACCTGGGCTCCCTGAGGTGGCGGGGGAACCTGGGCTCCCCGGGGTGGCGGGGGAACTTGGGCTGCCTGAGGTGGCTGGGGAACCTGGGCTCCCTGAGGTGGCTGGGGAAACTGTGCTCCCTGGTGTGGCGGGGAAACTGTGCTCCCTGGTGTGGCGGGGAAACTGTGCTCCCTGGTGTGGCGGGGGAACCTGGGCTCCCCGGGGTGGCGGGGGAACCTGGGCTCCCTGGGGTGGCGGGACACATCTTCTGGACATTTCAGTATATCACGGAGACCATGATCAACGGGGACTTTGTTTTGGGGTTATGATATGTGTTCTGAGCTATCATGACATATTGCACGTAAATGACAGACAAGATGCCCATGTTAAGAAATCACGAATGTTAGAATCACGAAATATCGCGATGATCAATTAACAACGAGGGAAGCCTTTGTGCTGATACTTATAAAGTAGGTCAGCTGAAGATGCGGGTTAGAATAGGCCTTGAGCAAGCATGCTTGTCGTAAGAGGCCACTCGGGTGGTCAGACTCGCTAACTTGGTTGATGCATGTCAATGTTCATGGTGTTAGTCACTGGATTGTCTGTTCCAGACTTGATTTATTTACAGACCGGCGTCATATAGTATGGTATGTTTATATGTGAGTGTGGCGTTAAACAACAAATAAACAAACCAGATGAATTGTAATCAGGTCTCAGAAACTTTCTATTGATGGCTACCGATTTGTAACTCATAAAATAGAAGCAAGCCAAGTTAGGATAAACATCCCTTTGATCACGTGGTTACAATCCGGGTAAGGGTCCATGGTCAGGTGACTGCAAGCGGTCATATTTAGCAGTGATCTTGGTCAAAAAAATTTTTTTAAATACTTCATCTGCACACACTTTTCTTCCCAATTCGTGTCGATAATGTACGTACACTGAACACGCTGCAAAATATAGTCGCTTGTAGTCACCTGACTGCCGATTCTTAGTCAGATTGCATATTGGGTTTAACGCCGGTTTAAACAGTTATTTGCATCACGGCTTGTTAGCTTATTGTGGGAGGATAGCCCGAAGTAATGGGAGACATACTATTATGGTCGTTTACTCCTATGAGGAACTGGGGGGGCACGGGTGGCCCAGTCGTCTGAGGCGCCGCGATTCGCTGTGCAGAGTTTCGAGCCGTGGGCACGCCAGAAACCTATGATGGATTCGAATCCAGGTTCGCCCCGATTATGTTCTTAGGTTTGTCAACACCATACCCGCGGCCGTGGGTTTCACCGAAGTGGTAAACGTCTAAGACCTGCATCACTCGGGCTTTGCTCCCACATAAATGGAAACTGGACTTTTATGGTCAGTTAACTCCCTTGCCTCGGAAAGATGACATTAAGCTGACACGCCGTGATATAACTGGAAAACTGTTAACAGCGGCGTTAAACCCAACTCAATCACCCACTATAGCAATTATACATTGCCAAAATTGACCAAAACTCAGTGTTCACTAAATCTTTGGGGAACCCGCGAGCAATTCACGATGGAGAGTTGACTGTCTTTGTCGTAACAGAATCGATTTATCGATCCCATATTCACCTGATGAATAATGGTTTTATAAGACAAGGGCTTTGCATATACTTACAATCAATAGGTATTTGGAAGGTTTTTTTTATTTTCCTCGTAAATTATCCAGGCATTTTCATTATACGAAGGAACAAATGTATAGGCAGTGATATCTTCAATGTGATCTTTAAAATCTTTGATAAAATTATATTTCTAGTTTGTTGACAGGCCTCCGACGCACTATTTATAGGAACTGGTATGAAGGCAGGTTCTGCCGGTGGAACAGGACATGCTTACCTTTTGGCTATCACCTGGTGCCGTCACTGATTTGCAGTGATCCATTTATATACTTTTGCCTTTTTGGCCGAATGGAATCTGTTTCGGCTGTTGTCATGTGTCCGACCTATTCCTTTGGAAACGCTACACATCAAATCTGTAAAAAGACCTAAAGTCCCTTTACAATACTTTACTGGTGTGCATACAAAGTTTCATATTTTACTCCCGAAGCTAACCTACCTTAAATTTTAGAATTAACGCCTGTTGTCTAGCCATATCAACGATAAACATCGAATAGAGACATTTGAAATAGTATTGAAGAATAAAAACAACCTTTAACGTTAAAGGACCTTCCGATATAGTTACAAGCGCGAGTTATTCGAGAATGGTGCCTTCAAAAAGGCAACCAAAATAAAAGGGAAGCCTGAATACGACACATTAACAGGATCCCTAGCTCTCTGTGAGCACAAACGCGTGAGAGTGAAACAAGTATTGTGGTGCGGCACATCACATTATTACCATGACAACCACATGATATATTCACAATGTACATTGTACAATCTTTAAGGCTACGGTGGACTTTTAAACAATGAATAATAAACATTGAAATGAAAAAATAATAACCACCCAATATGTCTTCAATACACACGCCGGGGCGGTCGGGTAGCCTAGTGGTTAAAGCGTTTGCTCGTCACGCCGAAGACCCGGGTTCGATTCCCGACATGGGTACAATGTGTGAAGCCCATTTCTGGTGTCCCCCGCCGTGATATTGCTGGAATATTGCTAAAAGCGCATAAAACCATACTCACTCACTCACTCACTCACTCACTCAATACACACCCCTGTCGCTTGCCACAATTGGCCTTTGTCACTGTTGGAATAACAGAGACAAGGGTGTTCATTCATATCTTGTATATCGTTTTTATCGTTCACCGAGGTTTCTCCATGCAATCTTCTGAGGGCACGGGTGGCCCAGTCGTCTAAGGCGTCGCTATTCGCTGTGCACAGTTGCGTCCCTTGGGCACACCAGAAATCCCGGTTCGCCTCGATTATGTTTTTAGGTTTGTCAGCACCATACCCGTGCTCGTGGTTTTGGACCGAAGTGGTCAACGTCTGAGACCTGTATCACGTCGGGCTTTCCTCCCACATTAAGCTGACACGCCTCGATATGACTGGAATACTGTTAAAAGCGGAGTTAAACCAAACTCACTCACTCACCCATGCATTCCTCTGACCTTGAATATGTTGTTTGTTTTACAAATACTATCGTTTAACTAATAACAGAAATGCGGATTTATAATGGCAATTGAAACACGTTTCAACATTGCCCAAACCGTTTATCATACGCTATCTCGCCGTCGCGCATTAATGATTTATTGATGAATATGTCAGTAGATGATTTTTAACTTTCCTGTGAGGAAAGGTATATAGTTTTATACAGTATATACCACTACCAGTCTCTGACTATTTACGTATATGTTATAAATGTGAAGCTTTCCATGAATCAAAATCCTAATTTATCTCAAAGATATATTTCCAAGCATCATCAAATGTTTTGTACCAGAAATGTAAAAGAAATCAAGAACCTTGCAAAAATCATCAAATACTTTGCAAAAAGTACCTTTGGGTATCAGTGTATTAATGTGTGTGCTGAATCTGTCACCAAATGATTGTACAGCATAACCGACATCTTGTTAAATATAAATTATTATCATGTGAAGAACTTTTTCTCCTGTACCACCTCAAAGAATGAGTGAATTGGGTTTAACGTCGCTTTTAACAGTATTCCGGTTATATCGCGGCGTGTTAAAGCCCGAAGTGATGCAGGTCTCAGACGTTTACCACTTCGGTGAAACCCACGAGCACGGGTATGGGTATGGTGCTGACAAGCTTAGAAACATAATCGGGGCAAACCGGGATTCGAACCCACAATCATAGGTTTCTGGTGTGCCCAAGTGACGCAACTCTGCATGGCGAATCGCGGCGCCTTACACGACTGGGCCACGGTTATCTCCCAAAACCCCTACATCCCATTTCCCCTACAACCCAGTTCCCCTACAATTAGTTAAAACAACACGCGGCATTTACCTGTCTGGCATTATGAACTGACCTAAAGGAGAAATTAAGGTCTGGAGTAGAGGTAGTAGAAATGAAAGGGGTAGAGCTTTAGGGGATAAGGGGACTTAAAGGAAAGTTTTAAAAAAAGAAGAATTAATGTAAGTGTAATGAAAGATGCCTGTATGATGAGAAGACAATTTTTAGAAATTACAAAAATAACAATAGGAAGAAACAATTATTACACTAAGAAACTGAGATGAGACGATTTACAGTTGAGATGGCTAGGTTTAGTATATAGATACTTGAAACTGACTAACATGTGAATAACAAACTACCTAAATGAACACCAAATTAAAAATCTTAAACAAAACTGCAAACAATCAAATATCTTCACCCCTAAACTTAAAATACCCAAAATAGACACAACACTAGCTAGCCAAATAAATTAACAAACCGACCCAAACATAGTTAAAACCACCACACTAGCATACATACACGAAAATTGGCCAAATTGGTGTCACATTTACACGGATGGATCTTCAGATCCGACCTCCAAACACACAGGTTTCGGAGTCCATACCACACAACCAACTAAAACCACACAATCCTTCCGACTCCCAAACAACCAATCAATATTCACGGCAGAACTAATGGGCATGGCCTCAGCCCTCCATAATCAAGAATCCAAAAACCACAAAAAAATCCTAATACTTACCGACTCCCTAAGTGGACTGCAAGCCCTCCATAACAAAAATACCAAAAACCGACCTAAATTAATAAATCAAATACTTAAAAGCTCCAACGACCTAACTAACGCAGGCAAACAAATAACCTTCTTGTGGATACCCGCCCACGTAGGAATATACGGTAATGAAAACGCCGATAAGGCAGCCAAACTATCCCTCAAAATCCCAGAAATATGCATACACTTACCCATCTCAAAATCAGAAATTAAAAGCATAAACAAGCAAAAAATCACCAAAAAATGGCATAACCTATATCTAAACTCAAATAGCCAAATCAAAAAAGTACTCAGCAAACCACTAACCAAACCAAAAATTCTCCATCCATCCAAAAAAATCGACAGAGTAATCACTAAACTCCAAACAGGACACACCAACCTAAATAACCACCTAAAAAAAATAAAAAAACACACTACAGGTAACTGCCCACACTGCAAACAACTAGAAACCCCAGAACACGCACTCATCCACTGCACACACTACCTAACACATCGAACCGCATTACAAACCACCCTCAATCTAAACAAGGCTCTCACTCTAGAAGCAATACTAAACCCACAAAATAAACTAGGAAACTTCAAGGCCTTAGGCGTATTCTTAATCAACACGGAACTAATAAAACGCATCTAAAAACACTATAATCTACCAAATCAAATCACATAAACAAACAAACATCCACCATACCCAGCTCCCTTTGTTCTACTCCCCAACCCCATCGGCATCTATTCCAAATCTCAAAATTCCCACATTCTTTATAAGCAACCCCTAAAGCCCCCTCTTGGGTTGCACACACCACTATCGCCCCTTTCGGAAACACATTAAATGGCCTGGTCGGAAAGTGCACGTTAAAACTCCAAAGTAAGTAAGTAAGTAAGTAAGTAACTAATATATGCGCACGTTAAATCTTCTATATCAGTCAGACTAACATGATCCGTGTGCGAAATACGCATCAGTCGGAAAGCGCCCGTTAAATCTCCAAAGTAAGTAAGTAAATAACTAACTAACTAACATGACATCAACATGGCTGGTCTTCGCAATGTTGAGTTTGTTATGTCACAGAGAGGAACGCCCTAAGTCCTATTTGATGGTTATCTTCACACTAAGAACATCGAGAGACTGACTCCTTTTTCGTCTTTCTTGGGTTGTTCCATTGTATGAAATAGGTAACAGACTAGGGATTAGCAGTGCCATGGACCGTGAACTTTGTTGTCTTAAGCTGTAGGGGAAATGGGATGTAGGGGTTTTGGGAGGTTACCTGGGCCACCCGTGCCTCCGTTTTTGAAAAGAAATAATGTGATTGATTGATTGATTGGTAGCGGTGTTAGTGAGCTGCCAATGAAGGGTGTAGCACCACTGAAAAGAAGCGTTTTATAACAGTTCGTTTTTAAAACAAAATATAGTTTAATTCTAAGGTTTTGTTTAAAGAATTTTTTTCATGCAACCTGTCAGTAACAGGCTAGTTTTGTCAATGCACATTTCTCTGAAATTATGCGAAGATGAAATCTTAGCGTACTCACGTATTTCGGAATTGATACTGAACCCGTTTCGCTGACCCATGCTTTGGTGACATTGTAGATTAAGCAACAAACATACTCATGTGTAAGAAGTTATATATTTCCTGATGTAATGTGAAATGACCAAGTACTATAAACAAATGAAGTTATGTAATATTATGCATCATTTTACTAATATTCGGTACATATATGTATTTGCAGAACACATGGTATCTTTAAAGTTATGAAATTATCAAATTTAAATTTGTCAGGTCACACATTGAGATGAGGTGAGGTGAAATCGGGTTTAACGTCGCGTCCAAGATTATTGCACTTATAAAGCGACGTGCATGCACGTGTGTGTGTGGCTGCTTGTACTAGTCCGACTGATGCCGATTTATAGTGCTAGCTCACTGAGATACCATGCCGCAATTTAACATGAATATCCCACTAAGACACAGTATACTGACTCCGACCGACCAGTCCTTGTTTTAACCCCTTAATGCCGAGCGCCAGACAGGGTAACAACAAGTACCATCTTTTAACGTCTTTTGGTACATTGAGATGAACATGTTATTGGATCGATCGATCCCGTACACCCACCTATGATTGATAAAATGGCAGTGAGCTGACTTCATGGATACTACCCGTGTGGTCACGTGATGGGAAACTCAGGTGAACACAGCTCTGAGACTGTTGCCATGTTAGATTCAAGTGTTTCCGTTTGGCCCGCTGCCAGGTTAGATGTAATGCGATAGTCACGTGACGCCTAGCTCCGGATAACACAACTCTGACACAGTTATACAATTGCCAGCTGAAATGACGAGTTTGTGTGTGTTGGTGATGCTTGTTGCAGCCTCATCTGTGGTTCATGGACACGAACATATCGCAGCAGTTGTCAACCAGATGAGTTTGCTTGAGAAAGAAATTAACCATCTGAAAGTGGAATTGAACCACTTGAAATCTGACGTCCCAGGAATGGAGACGAGAGTCATAAACAAGATGGACATTTTGGAGTTACTGCTGAGATCGGATTTGACAGAGAAGATTGTACCTTCCTATATACGTCGTCAAATAGAGTCGTTTGATGCCACGGTAAACAGTCACGTGATGTCCCAGATTAGACACCTCAAGCGTGGATATGAGCAGATGAAGCGACAGACACTGAGTCTCACAAGACAGTTGAGGGAGGTCGGACAGACTAAAACACAACAACCACTGGACACTGTGAAAGACAAAGATGCATGTGAACAGCAGGTGAGTGAACTAAAGACAGAGTTGAACCTGACACGTCATCACGTGACCCATGTTGAAAAGGATGTTAGTTTACTAAAAGATCACGCGTTACTCGTCATACGACATACTACTGACGTGCAAGCACAGATAAATGAAACCCAACGAACAGTTGAGACTCTTGTAAAACAGAACGTACGTTTGAGAAATGACTTGATTGTGATTAACGCCAGTCATGCAGAAGATGTGCAGACATTGGGAGACTTTCATCTGAACTACGTCAACAAGACACGTGACCTTCAGACCAATGCTGACAGTACACAACCCATCCAACATTACACACCCACGACTCCATCTGGACGTCCCTTCACTTCAGTGGCCACAACACCTACAACACGACAGTTTCAAGACAAGACGAGAATATTGGTGTTACAACTTTACTCTGGCTCCTTACAACATCCCCATCAGATTACCATAGATAAAAATGACATGAAGACGTATCCTTATCTGCATACATCTCACGTTCGGGCTGTAACATACGAGCCTGTGTCCAGGAGACTGATATTCAGTAGAAATTCACCACCAGGCATCTTCTCCTCAAGGCTGGACGTGTCGGGTGTCACAACACTACGAGAGGGAATCAAATCGTCCGGAATGACAGTCGATGTTGACAGACGACTTATCTTCCTTACCACATACTATCCAACGTGGACAATCAGTCGTATGTCAACATTTGGGAGAAACTTTCAGGGCATTGTGGATTTGCGTAATCACGGAACAGACAATCCCCGTGGCATTGCTGTAGACTCCAGGAAGAAGATGATCTATTTCTGTAAAACTGATGATGGGTTGTGGTCTGTTGATTATAATGGGAATAGGCTGCATCAGATAGACATGAGACGTGACGTTTATGCTGCTACTATTGACACTATACACGGTGTCCTATATTTCAGCGACAACAAGAAGGTGATAAAGCGATCTTTATCAACTAATACTACAACGGAAATGACGGAATTCAGTGATAGGATAAGAAGCCTTGTCTACTACAACAACAGCCTGTACATAAGTGGAAAGGATATTGATGTCATATACCTGGAAAACGACGTACATTTCAACCTGAAGACAATGAAGTATAGTTACAATGTAATGTGTTTGATTCCGTGATCACATCTGTCTTAAGAGAGACTCCTACACGAGACTTTAGCCCAGGGACATCGTAGGAAAATGGAAATATTCTCACAACCAGTTACACAGATGGCCACAAGTTTTTAGATACGAGCGACCATTACTTTCATAATAGTACTGTTACACAGAGTGTTTTGTACAGTTCAGTGATGTGTACTAGGACGTATGTTGAACACTTCCGGGAGCGCTAGTGCCTAGCAGCCGTAACACCGCTGCCACCAGTACAGAATTTCTAATGGTCTTAGTTTGTATCTTTATCATATGTTTAGTGAAATGTCATGTGTATTGTATGTGGTGGTATTGGTCTACCAAGTTTCCTTCTGCTGAGTGTATATCCATAGTTAGGGAACCTGGGGTGGCGGGGCAACCTGTTTTGCCTGGGGAGTTTGCAGGACCTGGGCTCTCTGGGGTGGCGGGAAAACCTTGGCTCCCTGGGGCGGCGGGGGAACCTGGGCTCCCTTGGGTGGCGGGGGAATCCGTGGTCCCTGGGATGGCCTTTGAACCCTGGCTCCCTAGGGTAGAGGGAGAATCTGTGGTCCCTGGGGTGGCGGTAGAATCTGGACTCCCTCGGATGGCGGGGGAATCTGTGGTCCCTGGGTTGGCAGGGAAACCTGGGCTCCTTGGGGAGGTGGGTTTACCTGGGCTCCCTGGGAGGCGGGGTACCCTGGGCTCCATGGGACGACGGGGCAATAGGGGCTCCGTGGTGTGGCGGGGGAACCTGGGCTCCCTGGGGTGGCGGGGGAATCCGTGGTCCCTGGGATGGGTTTTGAACCCTGGCTCCCTAGGGTAGAGGGAGAATCTGTGGTCCCTGGGGTGGCGGGGGAATCCGTTGTCCCTGGAATGGCTTTTGAACCCTGGCTCCCTAGGGTAGAGGGAGAATCTGTGGTCCCTGGGGTGGCGGTAGAATCTGGACTCCCTCGGATGGCGGGGGAATCTGTGGTCCCTGGGTTGGCAGGGAAACCTGGGCTCCTTGGGGAGGTGGGTTTACCTGGGCTCCCTGGGAGGCGGGGTACCCTGGGCTCCATGGCACGACGGGGCAATAGGGGCTCCGTGGTGTGGCGGGGGAACCTGGGCTCCCTGGCGTGGCGGGGGAACCTGGGCTCCCTGTGGTAGCGGAGGAGCCCTGGCTCCCTGAGATTGCGGCGGAACCTGGGCTCCCTGGGTAGGCGGGGGAATCCTGGCCCCCTTGGGTGGCGGGGAAACCTGGGCTACCTGGGGAGGTTGGAGAACTTAGGCTCCCTGGGGCGGCGGGGCAGCATGGGCTCTCTGGGGTGGTGGGGGAACCTAGGCTCCATGGGGCGGCGGGGGAACCCTGGCTCCCTGGGGTGGCGTGAGAAACTCTGCTCCCTGGGGAGGCTGGGCAACCTGGGCTCCCTTGGGTGGTGGGGAAACCTGTGCTCCCTGGGTCGGCGGGGAAACCTGTGCTCCCTGGGTCGGCGGGGAAACCTGGGCTCCCTGGGGTGGCGTGGGAATTTGGACTCCCTGGGATGGCGGGAGAATCTGTGTTCCCTGGGGTGGCAGGAAAACCTGGGCTCCCTGGGGAGGCGGGGCAACATGGGCTCCCTGGGGTGGCGGGGGAATCTGGCCTTCCTGGAGAGGGGGAGCAGCCTGGGCTCCCTGGGGTGGCGATGAAACCTGGGCTCCCTTGGGTGGCGGGGGAATCCTGACTCCCTGGGATTGCGTTGGAAACTGTGGTCCCTGGGGTGGCGGGAGAATATGGGCTCCCTGGGGTGGAGGGGGAACCCTGACTCCCTGTAATGGCGTTGGAAACTGTGGTCCCTGGGGTGGCAGGAGAATATGGGCTCCCTTGGGTGGCGGGGGAATCCTGACTCCCTGGGATTGCGTTGGAAACGGTGGTCCCTGGGGTGGCGGGAGAATATGGGTTCCCTGGGGTAGAGGGGGAACCCTGACTCCCTGTGATGGCGTTGGAAACTGTGGTTCCTGGGGTGGCGGGAGAATATGGGCTCCCTGGGGTAGAGGGGGAACTCTGACTCCCTGGGATGGCGTTGGAAACTGTGGTCCCTGGGGTGGCGGGAGAACATGGGCTCCCTGGGGTGGAGGGGGAATCCTGACTCCTTGTGATGGCGTTGGAAACTGTGGTCCCTGGGGTGGCAGGAAAACCTGGGCTCCCTGAGGAGGCGGGGTAACCTAGGCTCCCTGGGGAGGCGGGGCAACATGGGCTCCCTGGGGTGGCGGGGGAATCTGGCCTTCCTGGAGAGGGGGAGCAGCCTGGGCTCCCTTGGTTGGCGATGAAACCTGGGCTCCCTTGGGTGGCGGGGGAATCCTGACTCCCTGGGATTGCGTTGGAAACTAGGGCGGTGGGGCAACCTGGGCTCCCTGGGGCCGCGGTTAAACCTGAACTACCTGGGGAGGCGGGGTAAACTCGGCTCCCTTGGGGCGGCGGGGCAGCCTGGTTTCCCTGCCGTGGCGGTTCAACCAGGGCTCCCTGGGGTGGCTGGGGATCCTGGGCTCCCTGAGGTGGCTCCCTGAGGTGGCGGGACAAGCTCGAGTCCCTTGGGTGGCGGGGGAGCCTCAGCTCCCTGGGGTGGCGGGGTAAGCTCGGGTTCCTGGGGTTGAGAGGGAACCTGGACTCCCTGAGACGGCGGGGAAACTTGGGCACCTTGGGGTGGCGGGGTAACCTGGGCTCCCTGAGGCGGCAGGGAAACTTGGGCACCTTGGGGTGGCGGGGTAACCTTTGCTCCCTGGGGTGGCGGGGTAAGCTCGGGTCCCTGGGGTTGAGAGGGAACCTGGACTCCCTGAGGCGGCGGGGAAACTTGGGCACCTTGGGGTGGCGGGGTAACCTTTGCTCCCTGGGGTGGCGGGGTAAGCTCGGGTCCCTGAGGTGGAGGGGGAACCTGAGCTCCCTGGGTAGTCGGGGTTAGCTTGGGTCCCTGGGATGGCGTGAGAACCGGGGGTCGCGGGAAATGCTGTTGTCCTTGGGGTGGCAGGAAAAGCTTGGGTACCTGGGATGGCGGGAGAACCGGGGGTCGCGGGAAATGCTGTGGTCCTTGGGGTGGAGGGGGAACCTGGTCTTCCTGAGATGGCGGTAAAAGCTGGGGTCCATGGAGAGGCGATGGGGAACCTGGGCTCCCTGACACGCCGTGATATAACTGGAATACTGTTAAAAGCGGCGTTAAACCCAACTCACTCACTCACTCACTCACTCACTATAGCAATTATACATTTCCAAAACTGACTAAGTGATCACTAAATCTTTGGGGAACCCACGAGCAATTCGCGATTGAGAGTTGACTGTCTTTGTCGTGACAGAATCGATTTATCGATCCCTATATTCACCTGATGAATGATGGCTTCGCAAGGGCTTCGCATATACTTACAATCAATAGGTATTTGGAAGTTGTTTTTTTAATTTTCATCGTAAATTATCCAGGCATTTTCATTATACGAAGGAACAAATGTATAGGCAGTGATATCTTCAATGTGATCTTTAAAGTCTTTGATAAAATTATATTTCTAGTTTGTTGACATGCCTCCGACGCACTATTTATAGGAACTGTTATGAAGGCAGGTTCTGCCGGTGGAACAGGACATGCTTTGGCTATCACCTGGTGTCGTCACTGATTTGCAGTGATCCATTTATATACTTTTATTTTGCCTTTTGGGCCGAATGGAATCTGTTTCGGTTGTTGTCTTGAGTCCGACGTATTCCTTTGGAAACGTTACACATAAAATCTGCAAAAAGACAAAAAATCCCTTTACAATACTTTACTGGTGTGCATACAAAGTTTCATATTATACTCCCGAAGCTAACCTACAAATTTTAGAATGAACGCCGGTTGTCAAGCGATACCAACAAGAAACATCAAGTAGAGACATTTGAAAAAGTATTGAAGAATAGAAACAACCTTCAACGTTAAAGGACCTTCCGATATAGTTACAAGCGCGAGTTATTCGAGAATGGTGCCTTCAAAAAGGCAAACAAAATAAAAAGGGAAGCCTGAATGCGACACATTAACAGGATTCCTAGCTTTCTGTGAGCACAAACTCTTGAGAGTGAAACAAGTATTGTAGTGCCGCACATCACAATATTACCATGACAACCACATGATATATTCAAAATGTACAATCTTTAAGGCTACGGTGGACTTTTAAACAATGAATAATAAACATTGAAATGAAAAAATAATAACCACCCACTATGTCTTCAATACACACCCCAGTCGCTTGCCACAATTGGCCTTTGTCACTGTTGGAATAACACAGACAAGGGTGTTCATTCATACCCATATATCGTTTTTATCGTTCACCGAGGTTTCTCCATGCAATCTTCTGAGGGCACGGGTGGCCAAGTCGTCTAAGGCGTCGCTATTCGCTGTGCAGAGTTGCGTCCCTTGGACATGCCAGAAATCCCGGTTCGCCTCGATTATGTTTTTAGGTTTGTCAGCACCATACCCAAGCTCGTGGTTTTGGACCGAAGTGGTTAACGTCTGAGACCTGTATCACGTCGGGCTTTCCTTCCACATTAAGCTGACACGCCTCGATATAACTGGAATACTGTTAAAAGCGGAGTTAAACCAAACTCACTCACTCACCCATGCATTCTTCTGACCTTGAATATGTTGTTTGTTTTACAAATACTAATGTTTAACTAATAACTGAAATGCGGATTTATAATGGCAATTGAAACACGTTTCAACGTTGCCCAAACCGTTTATCATACGCTATCTCGCCGTCGCGCATTAATGGTTTATTGATTAATACATCAGTAGATGATTTTTCACTTTCATTTGAGGAAAGGTATATAGTTCTATACAGTATATACCACTACCAGTCTCTGATTTTTTTACGTAAATGTTATAAATATGAAGCTTTCCATGAATCAAAGTCCTAATTTATCTCAAAGATATTTTTCCAAGCATCATCAAAAGTTTTGTACCAGAAATGTTAAAGAAATCAAGAACCTTGCAAAAATCATCAAATACTTTGCAAAAAGTACCTTGGATATGAGTGTATCAATGTGTGTTCTGAATCTGTTACCTAATGAATGTACAGCATAACCGACATCTTGTTAAATATAAATTATTATCATGTTAAGAACGTTTTCTCCTGTACCACCACAAAGAGTGAGTGAGTGAGTTGGGTTTAACGTCGCTTTTAACAGTATTCCGGTTATATCACGGCGTATTAGCTTAATGTGGGAGGAAAGCCCGAAGTGATGCAGGCCTCAGACGTTTACCACTTCGGTGAAGCCCACGAGCACGGGTATGGGTATGGTGCTGACAAACCTAGAAACATAATCGGGGCAAACCGGGATTCGAACCCACAATCATAGGTTTCTGGTGTGCCCAAATGACGCAACTCTGCATGGCGAATCGCGGCGCCTTAGACGACTTGGCCACCCGTGCCTCCGTTTTTGAAAAGAAATAATGTGATTGATTGATTAATTGATTGATTGATTGATTGATTGGTAGCGGTGTTAGTGAGCTGCCAATGAAGGTGTAGCACCACTGAAAAGAAGCGTGTCATAACAGTTTGTTTTTAAAACAAAATATAGTTTAATTCTAAGGTTTCGTTCAAAAAATTGTTTTCCATGCAACCTGTCAGTAAGTGGCTGGTTTTGTCAATACACATGTCTCTTTATAGTGCTAGCTCACTGAGATACCATGCCGCAGTTTAACATGAATATCCCACTCAGACACAGTATACTGACTCCGACCGACCAGTCCTTGTTTTAGCCCCTTAATGCCGAGCGCCAGACAGGGTAACAACAAGTAACATCTTTTAACGTCTTTTGGTACATTGAGATGAACAATATTATTGGATCGATCGATCCCGTACATCCACCACTGATTGATAAAATGGCAGTGAGCTGTCTTCATGGATACTACCCGTGTGGTCACGTGATGGGAAACTCAGGTGAACACTGCTCTGAGACTGTTGCCATGTTAGATTCAAGTGTTTCCGTTTGGCCCGCTGCCAGGTTAGATGTAATGCGATAGTCACGTGACACTTAGCTCCGGATTACACAACTCTGACACAGTAAAACAATTACCAGCTGACATGGCGAGTTTGTGTGTGTTGGTGCTGCTTGTAGCAGCCTCATCTGTGGTTCATGGACACGAAAATATCGCAGCAGTTGTCAATCAGATGAGTTTGCTTGAGAAAGAAATTAACCATCTGAAAGTGGAACTGAACCACTTGAAATCTGACGTTCCAGGAATGGAGACGAGAGTCATAAATAATATGGACATTTTGGAGTTACTGCTGAGATCGGATTTGACAGAGAAGATTGTACCTTCCTATATGCGTAGTCAAATAGAGTCGTTGGATGACACGGTAAACAGTCACGTGATGTCCCAGATTAGACACCTCAAGCGTGGATATCAGCAGATGAAGCGACAGACACTGAGTCTCACAAGACAGTTGAGGGAGGTCGGGCAGACTAAAACAAGACAACCACTGGACACTGTGAAAGACAAAGATGCATGTGAACAGCAGGTGAGTGAACTAAAGACAGAGTTGAACCTGACACGCCATCACGTGACCCATGTTGAAAAGGATGTGAGTTTAGTAAAAAATGACGTGTTACTCGCCATACGACAGAGTGCTGACGTGCACGCACAGATTAATGAAACCCAACGAACAGTTGAGACCCTTGTAAAACAGAATGTACGTTTAAGAAATGACTTGATTGTGATTAACGCCAGTCATGCTGAAGATGTGCAGACATTAGGAGACTTTCATCTGAATTACGATAACAAGACACGTGACCTTCAGACCAATGCTGACAGAACACAACCTGTACCACATTACTCACCCACGACTCCATCTGGACGTCCCTTCACTTCAGTGGCTACAACACCTACAACACGACAGTTTCAAGACAAGACGAGAATATTGGTTGTACAATATATATCTGGCTCCTTACAGCATCCCCATCAGATTACCATAGATAAAAACGACATGAAGACGTATCCTTATCTGCATACATCACACGTTGAGGCTGTAACATACGAGCCTGTGTCCAGGAGACTGATATTCAGTAGATATTCACCACGTGGCATCTTCTCCACAAGGCTGGACGTGTCGGGTGTCACAACACTACGAGAGAGAATCCTATCATATGGAATGACAGTCGATGTTGACAGGCGACTCATCTTCCTTACCACATACAGTCCGACGAAGACAATCAGTCGTATGTCCACATTTGGGAGAAACTTTCAGGGCATTGTGGACTTGCGTAATCACGGAACAAACAGTCCCCTAGGTATTGCTGTAGACTCCAGGAAGAAGATGATCTATTTCTGTAAAAATTATGATGGGTTGTGGTCTGTTGATTATAATGGGAATAGGCTGCATCAGATAGACATGAGACGTGACGTTATTGCTGTTACTATTGACACTATTCACGATGTCCTATATTTCAGCGACAACAAGAAGGTGATAAAGCGATCTTTATCAACTAATACTACAACGGAAATGTTGGATTTCAGTGATAGCATTAGAAGCCTTGTCTACTACAACAACAGTCTGTACATAAGTGGAAAGAATATTGATGTCATATACCTAGAAAACAACGTACATTTCAACCTGAAGACAATGAAGTATATTGAGAATGTAATGTGTTTCATTCCGTGATCACATCTGTCTTAAGAGAGACTCCTACACGAGACTTTAGCCCATGAACAGCGTAGGAAAATGGAAATATTCTCACAACCAGTTACACAGATGGCCACAACTTTTAAGATGCGAGCGACCATTACTTTCATAATAAAACTGTTACACAGAGTGTTTTGTACAGTTTAGTGATGTGTACTAGGACGTGTGTTATACACTTCCGGGGACGCTCGTGCCTAGCAGCCTTAACACCGCTGCCACCAGAACAGAATTACTTTTAGTCTTAGTTTGTATCTGTCATATGTTTAATGAAATGTAATGTGCATTGTATGTTGTAGTATTGGTCTACGGAATATTCTTCTGCTGAGTGTATACTCGTAGCCAGGGAACCTGGGGTGCCTGAGGTGGCGGGGGAACGTGGGGTCCCTGGGGTTGCGGGTAAAGCTGGTGTCCGTGAGATGGCGGGGAAAGCTGGGGTCCCTGAGGTGGCGGGGAAAGCTGGGGCGGCGGGAAAAGCTGGGCTCCCTGGGGTGGCGGGGGAGTATTGGCTCCCTGAGGTGGCGGAGAAAGCTGGGGTCCCTGAGATGGCGGAGAAAGCTTGGGTCCTTGAGATGACGGGGAAAGCTGGGGTCCTTGAGATGAGGGGGGAAGCTGGGCTCCTTGAGATGGCGGGGAAAGGTGGGGTCAGTGAGATGGCGGGAGAACCTTGGGCTCCCTGTGGTGGCGGGGAACCTGGGCTCCTTGAGGAGGCAGAATAGATCTTCAGTAACCCATGCTTGCGGTAAAAGGCTATGCTTGTTGTAAGAGGCGACTAACGGGATCGTGTGGTCAGGCTCGCTGATTTGGTTGATGCATGTCATCGTGTCCCAATTGACTGGATCAATGCTCATGGTGTCAATCACTGGATTGTCTGGTCCAGATTCGATTATTTACAGACCGCCGTCATATGGCTGAGTGCGGCGTTAAACAACAAACAAACAAACAAACAAACAAACAAAAACACTCATGTAGTAATTTTCTTTAATGTGTCAATACAAAACACGAACAGTCACTTTCCAATACTCCTAAACTGCAAACATCAAGGTAATATTGTGATAGTATTTGTGTTGCTGGAGATATTTTCTTGATACATATCGGATAATTTTCCTGTATATAGTTCCATACCATAGTTACCCAAATACTTGCTACTTAGGGATATGTTGTTCTCAGTGTTAGTTTGTGCAGGGAGTCTGTATAAGACCGAATGGGCACCAAATGAATTTACCAACTGGATAATCTGTTTTACCTCGTCATTGCCATGCTGCGGTGAAAATAAGTGCGAAGATGGAATTCATACAAGCTCTTGGCTGCATTGATGCCATTTGTGTTTACCCTTGTTATTCCGAGACATACCGACGAGAAATATGATTGTTTATCGGTGTTTGATGACTCAAGTGTAAATAAAAACGACAAAACCCTTTCCTTAATCTATTATGATGACGTCACGCCTTTGTTCTTGTAGTTGATTCTAAGATTCTGAGTTTACGGGCCATTCTGAACGTGTGCTTTGAAATTGACGCAACTATATGTCTTTATACAAAATTAAAGAGAAATTATGTTTCAATCACAACATGGTTTAAATCAGAGCGTGAGTGAGTATGGTTTTACGCTGCTTTTGGACACCAGAATGGGCTTCACACATTGTATCTATGTGGGGAATCGAAACCGGGTCTTCTACATGACGAGCGAACGCCTTTCACCACAAGGCTACCCCACAGACGAATTATCTCGTCACTTCGGCAAATTGTTCGCGATAGAATGTTGATATAAAATGGATAATCGGGGTGATTGCTGCTTGGACACTGTCAAATCATTACACCGCCCCTGCAGTCTAGTGAGTGTCAATGAACGAAATGCTCTAAATAACTGCTCACTGACCATAAAAGTTATTAGTTACCCAGTTACTTAGCGAATTTCAATGTCCACCCAGGGTCCAGACGCCATTATCTACAGATCGCCCTCATATGGATGGAATATTGCTCAGTGCGGCGTAAAACAACACACAAACAAACAAACTTGTTATGAGATTTTACTAACGAGATAGTAAATATTTGCTAATTAGACTAGTATAGGTGGATCGTAGACTAGTGCAGTTTACTAATCAGGTAGCAGAGATTACTAACCATCTTTCAAAGACTCTTCTTCTCATAATTTACTAACTGCAAGTTTGTTGGTTGGTTGGTTGTTTTACGCCGCACTCAGCAATATTCCAGCTATATGACGGCGGTCTGTAAATATCAGAGTCTGGACCAGACAATCCAGTCGCCTCTTACAACAAGCATAGTCGCCTTTTACGGCAAGCATGGGTTGCTGAAGACCTATTCTACCCCGGATCTTCACAGGTCTCAAAAACCAAGTAAAACCATGATAATTCAGGTGAAAGATAACCTATAATCATTTTCAGTAGCAATTTAAGTTGATCCAGATGATTTACATTCTAAATTTTATCAGTCATTATAAAATAAATTACATTAACGACATTACAAGGCCATTATATAGCTAACACTCAGACTCAGTGTGTTTAATCCCGAATACAAATGAAAACAATTTTGTGACGTCATGCTCTCCATTCCTTAAAAATAATGGCCCCGAGGCCCCGAGTGACGAGTTTATTCCCCTATTTAAAACACATCCCTGCTTTTACACTTTTACGGACCTTTGTCGTGTGGAAAATATTTGCAAAATACACCAGAACTCTTTGTTGCCTGAATCTATTCTGTGTGAGTCGCCCTTGCGTGATGCACGAGGAATACGTTCTCTGCCGCTGTTGCACGTGCACCAAGCTCCGTCGCGAGCTGATCTTTACAATGCATGGTACACGGCTCATCATAATTTCGTGGGGTCCTTTTGTTTGTTTGTTTGTTGCATAACGCCGCACTCAGCAATATTCAAGCTGCATGAAAGCGGTCTGTTAATAATCAAAGTCTGGACTAGACAATCCATTGATTAATATCATGAGCATCGATCTCCTCAACTGGGAAACGATGACATGCATCAACCAAGTCATTGAGCCTGACCACACGATCCCGTTAGTCGCCTCTTTCGAAGTTCCTGGAGTGTCGTGGTTGACGTCGAAGGCGCCGATCCATCTAATCCCACATGTGCTCGATTGGTGAGAGATCAGGGGAGCGGGCCGGCCAGGGGATGACATTCATGTTGTTTTGTTGAAGGGAATCCTGAACAAGTCGAGCTATATGAGGCCGGGCGTTGTCATGTTGAAAGGTAATGCCTGGGCCATGACGACGCAAAAAAAAAAGAACAACAGGGCCGATGATCTCGTCGCGGTAACGCTGTCCATTGAGATTTCCCTCTACCACTATCAAACGGGACCTCTGTCTTGCTGTAATCCCACCCCATACCATAACGCTGCCGCCCCCGAACCGATCTTCTTCACAATGATTGACGTAACGTTCACCTCGACGTCGGTACACTCGAATCCGTCCATCGCTGTGGCCGAGGTGAAAACGAGACTCGTCAGTGAATAGAACTTGTCCCCACTGCATGGCCGTCCAGCGTAGACTCTGTCTGTACCACTGTAGACGTGCTTGACGGTGGTTTCCTGTCAAAATGGGACGTCTGGCGGGTCTTCTGTCGAAAATGCCTGCACATCTCAGGCGGCGACGTACGGTTTGTGAAGATATTCGTCGAAGGCCAGGGATGCTTCTAGATCTTGCAGTCATTGTTGCTGGCTGGAATCGATTTCGTAGGTGTCTTGTTCGAATCCAGTTGTCTTGTCGATTATTGGTTACGCGTGGCCTGCCACTCCGAGGATGGTCTCTGACTGCATTCGTCTGTTGCCAACGTTGCCATAAACACCAAATGGTGTTTCTGTGGACGTTAAATTGTCTTGCAACATCACGTTGACTCGATCCTGCTTCAAGCATACCAATGGCTCGCAGACGCACATTTTCGGACAGGCGTGGCATTTCGTAATGTTGAATAATTGCGTAATTTTGTTGTTTTTCTGAGTGGTTGATGTCAGCACGATGCTAAACAATGCCTATGAAATCCCGTGAACGCACATGTTTTTATAGCCATTCTTGGGTAGTGAAATGCATGGGGCTTGCATAAAAGTCAACTTTTGCATGGAATGCATGCTTTTCTGTAGCAGTTGCGTTTTTGTGACTTGATTCCATACATGTTCTACAAAATTGGAAACCAAACTTTACTTGTTTGAAAAATACACCAAAATATTGGTGTCACAGGAACTTTTGTTTTTGAGTATAGTAAATTAGCTGTTTACGAACCTTCTGCCCCTGTCACTCAATAACTTTGTATAATTCTCTGGACTGTTCTCTCATTTTGGTCGATTCACTTATTGTGTACCCTTTGTATAAAACCCAACTAAATGCAAATAGCTGTATCCCCTATGTAGCACTGTTCCAGGTGACATCCCAACTCTCACCCACCAGATCATGTTTAATGTCGACAGTGCCTGACATGAATAATCTGTGTAGAGCCAGGAAAATATGTGTGGCTATTTTCGCTTGGTGATCTTGTCCTGTATCATTTTGTGTCTGCATGTACATCAACACGGAATTGCATGTCACCACTTTGTCATGTCAGCGAAGTTGTAAGATGAATGGGACAGTAAACAACATATACACCCTGATCTTTGATCCACAGATGTCCCGTCAAGTTTCAGGATCTAGAATTCAAAGTTGACGTAAACAATTCGTTGCACATGATGCAGAACGGTGACGACATTTGTCATGAGGCATATCCTATTTGCCAAGGATGTTTTTCTCCCCTGTTGAATTCTTTGCAAGCAGTAAAGTGTTCTAGCAGCTGTGTGTCTTTTCAAATAGAAACGATAAGTGTGTTGTTTATGATTCTCCTCCGACCTTCTCATGGCTTTACATCGTACAGAAGTTCTTATACGTACAATGCAGAGCCGCGTTTGCGTCTGTGTACGGCAGGGTCGGTGTCGAAGTCGTCCTTCGGATACAACATGTACGCATCGAATGGTAATCCGCAAGAGGTTCTTTTGACAATCTTTTATGTGCTTTTTCAAACATTTATTTCACAAAAAGTAAATCGGTTTAGAAAGGAGTTAACAGTATCATTTCCCCTCTGGAACTGTATGTTATTACATTTATGAGTTTACAAACACCAAGGTGTCTTTTTATGTCCCCGTCGCTGTTACCAGCCAAAGGTAAGGTTTGATGGTATTCCAAGGTGTCTTTACCGCTGTTGGGTAGGGCCCAGCTAAAGGTAAGGTTTGATGGTATTCCAAGGTGTCTTTACCGCTGTTGGGTACGGCCCAGCCAAAGGTAAGGTTTGATGGTATTGCAAGGTGTCTTTACCGCTGTTGGGAACGGCCCAGCCAAAGGTAAGGTTTGATGGTATTCCAAGGTGTCTTTACCGCTGTTGGGTACGGCCCAGCCAAAGGTAAGGTTTGATGGTATTCCAAGGTGTCTTTACCGCTGTTGGGTACGGCCCAGCCAAAGGTAAGGTTTTATGGTATTCCAAGGTAAGTAACTAGTTTGGGAACAAGGGGTATAAAAAATCCACTGTCGAAACATCTGACAGAGTTTAAGAAGGCCATGGCAGAATCAGCATTAGCCTTTAAAAGCATGTTATGAAGGCGTGGAACGTTGCGATGTATTTGTACCCAGTGGGGATTGGATAGTGAAAGAGGATAAAGCTACGTTTCCGCATCACGTTCCCAGTTACCAATGTTGTCAGAGACGATGGGTCGGGTATCCAACTCGGCTTG